TGTGTGTGTGTGTGTGTGTGTGTGTGTGAGAGTTTGTGTGTGAGTGTGAGTGTGAATGTGTTTGTGTGTGAGTGTGTGAGTGTGAGTGTGTGAGTGTGTGTGAGTGAGTGTGTGTGAGTGTGTGAGTGTGAGTTTGTGTGTGTGTGTGTGAGTGTGTGTGTGTGTGAGAGTTTGTGTGTGAGTGTGAGTGTGAATGTGTTTGTGTGTGAGTGTGAGTGTGTGTGTGAGTGTGTGTGTGAGTGATGGATCCTCACTCTGTCACCCAGGCTGGAGTGCAATGGCGAGATCTCGGCTCACTGCATTTCCCAAGACCACCCTGGCCTGCCATGCCCCTATCTCCTGCTATGAAAACCCCAAGACCCTAGAAGGGAGAGAAACAAGTGGCTGGACGTGGAGAGGAACGCATCAGCAGCTGGACATAAAGAGGATGCAGGCAGAAGAGCACACTGACAGATGCCAGCAGGCCGGCAGGTCATCCACCTGAGAAACGACACGGAGTTTGGCTGGGGTGGTGGGAGAGATCCCAGGCTGCTGAGCTGCCCAACTCCAGGTGAAAACCACCTTCCCACTCCGTCTCCCTTCTGGCTCCCACCCATCTGATGAGAACTTCCACTCAATAGAACCTCGAACTCATTCTCCAAGCCCACGTGTGAGCTGACTCTTCTGGCACACCAAAGCAAGAAACTCCAGGATACAGAAGGCCCTCTGTCCTTGCAATAAGGCAGAGAGTCTAGTTGGATTGACAGCACAAGCCACCTAGGGACAGCTAGACTAAAAGTGCACCCTGTAACTCTGCTGGGGCTTCAGGAGCTGTAAACATTCACCCCTAGACACTGCAGTGGAGTTGGAGACACACAACCTGCCTGTCTGCATGCTCCTCCTGGAGGTTTGAATGTTGGGGTACCAAAGGAGCCACACCCCCATTGCATGCCCTGTGAGGGGGATAAGGGAACTTTTCCAGTTCCACTTCTTTTTTCTTTTTATCTTATTTTGTTTCATTTTATTTTACTGAGATGGAGTCTGGCTCTGTTGCCCAGGCTGGAGTGCAGTGGCGAAATCTCAGCTCACTGCAACCTCAGCCTCCTGGTTGCAAGTGATTCTCATGCCTCAGCCTTCCAAGTCGCTGAGTTACAGGTACACACCACCATGCCCAGTTAATTTTTGTATTTTTAGTAGAGACAGGGTCTCACCATGTTGGCCAGACTGGTCTCGAACTCCTGACCTCAAGTGAGCCACCACGCCTAGCCCACTTCTTTCTAATCTAGGTGCCTTGCTTTTTTTTCTCTTTTTTTTCTCTTTTTTTTTTTTAGACAGAGTCTCACACTGTCGTTCAGGCTGTAGTACAGTGGCGCAATCTCAGCTCACTGCAATCTCTGCCTCCTGAGTTCAAGCAATTCTGCTGTTCTCTTGCCTCAGCCTCCCAAGTAGCTGGGACTACAGGCATGCACCACCATGCCCAGCTAATTTTTTTGTATTTTCAGTAGAGACAGGGTTTCACCATGTTGGCCAGGATGGTCTCGATCTCCTGACCTCATGATCCACCTGCCTCAGCTTCCCAAAGTGCTGGGATTATAGGCGTGAGCCAGTGTCCCTGCCGCTTGTATTTATTTCTGTTGAAAATTGTCCTAGCTACAGGCATGCGCCACCACACCTGGCTAATTTTTGTGTTTTTAGTGGAGATGGGGTTTCACCATGTTGGCCAGGCTGGTCTCAAACTCTTGACCTCAAATGAGCCACCTGCTGAGTCTTCCAAAGTGCTGGAATCACAGGCGTGAGCCACCATGCCTGGCCTGTATTTTCATTTTCATTTGTCTCAGGACTTTTTTTGTCCCAGTGTAGTGTAATTTTGTTTCCAGTAAAGGTGTTAAACACATAATGAATAGTGGTTCCATTTACATCATATTTAAACAAATTAACACTCACAAATTTAAACTTTAGAATAAATTTACCAATAATGTTTATGTGTATTTTGGTTCAGAAATATCACCTCAGTATTGACACAGCAACTTAAACGTGAAGGCTGTCTGAGTCCCTGTGGTGGTGCTGCATAGGAACCCTGAGGTGGAATAGCCAAGAGGTTTCTTTGGCTCGTGGTTCTTCTGCAGGCTGTACAATAAGCACGGCACCAGCATCTGCTCCTCTTCTGGTGCAGGCCACAGGCTGCTTCCATTCATAGCAGAAGGTAAAGGGGAGCCTGTTTGCAGGGATCACATGGCGAGGGGAAGCAAAAGAGAGTGGGAGTGCGTGCTAGGCTCTTTAACAATCAGCTCTTGCAGGAACCTTTCAGTGGACAGAGAATTCACTCACCCCTGAGGGAGGGCACTAATCTATACATAAAGAATTCGAGGGAGGCCGAGGCGGGTGGATCACGAGGTCAAGAGATCGAGACCATCCTGGTCAACATGGTGAAACCCCGTCTCTACTAAAAAACTACAAAAAATTAGCTGG